ATATGAAAAGAACAGTGTAGTGCTATTGGGATTTAGTAGTTTCCTGTGTGTGCCCGAAGGTTCAGGTTTGCATAAGTGGGCAGGGTCTATGTCTCCCAGATAGAGGGGAAGAGAGTGCAGGGGAGGATAGGCAATGGAGTTTAAATATTGAGTTTTTTAAAATGATGTAAATTAGGGTTATAAACTATAACTAACTTGGCCAATTATACAGATACATAAATTATCAGAGCTGAATCTACCTCTATATTCCTTAATGTGCAAATGTGAATACACTGTAGATATCTGAAAACTCAAATAAAATATATCAGTTCAGTAATAACATTATTTGCTACTATTATAAATTAAAAAGTATTTGTTAAGCAAACAAAGTGTTTGGAAACTTGTTATTGAAAATAATCGTATTAAAACTTAAAATTGAAACAGTTACTAACTTCTAGCATGAATAACAGACAATGCAAAGTACATAGGTTTTCACTGGAAGTCTGGAATTCATTCAACAATTTTGAACTATTTTGAGCTTTGAACTATCTGAAACAAACTATAACCTATTATTTACTAAAAGTAAAATGACACATCAATTTCATTTCATAATTTGTAGTTTAGTGTATTTTATCTCTTATTTTTTTAAGAATAGCATGGTAATAGGGCCAAAGAGGAGTTAAGGTGCTTGCCTTGTATGCAGCCAATCCCAATTTAATCTTTGGAGCTGCATACGGTGCCTGACTACCACCAGGACTGGCATTTGAATGGAGATTCATCAGTAAGTCCTGAAAAACAGGAAATGTGGTCCAAAGACCAAGAAATTAAACAAAAAGTGAAAATACACATGGTAATGATGCTTATATATAAAATGCATGTAATTGTACAATTTATATCCCAGCTCTCTTCCGGGAGCTTTGTTTGATAGTCTCTGGATATTGACCTTTGATGAGATTATATGGCAGAGAGCAATGCAGAATCTCCTGTCCCCATGCCAGCCTGTCTTCACCAGGGCCTCTTAGAGGGGGGGCGGGTTGAGTTTCACTCCCTGCCCCAAACAGAACCCCAACAGCCGAAAACCTCCAGAACCCAGCCACAGCCATGCTCAAGGCCACTCTGCACACACTCGGACGAGCCTCACACATGAAGGAACCTGAAGAGGAACCCAGGTATGCGGGACCCAGGGCTGAGATCTCTAAGCCTTCTTGGATTGGGACTGAGCCTCCTCCACCCAGATTCCCCATTTTCCAGTAGCTTGGTAGTTACACTCACAAATTTCCCCCGGTGCCATGCAATCTCATCAACGGCCAAGATCCAGAGACTATAAAACAAAGCTCCCTGAAGCATGCGGCCTCTTATACTGATGTACCTATAGCAGCACACATGTGTTTCATTTTAACATACTTGCTTGTATTCTTTTATATACGGACTTAACCTCCATCCCTCTCAGAGAGCCCGGCAAGTAACTGAGGAGTATCCTGCTCGCCTGCACGGCAAGTTCCCTGTGGCATACTCGATATACCAAAAACAGTAACAATAACAGGTCTCATTACCTGACCTTGAAAGAGCCTCCAATACGGCAGCATTGGGAAAGACAAGTAAGGAGAGGCTGCTAAAATCTCAGGGCTGGGACGAATGGAGATGTTACTGGCGCCTGCTCGAGTAAATCAATGAACAATGGGATGACAGTGATGCAGTGATATCCCAGCTAAGAATAATAGTATAAGCTATCTTCTAATTAATCTGACAACCCTGGATGTAGGATATAAAACTAAACACAAGTAGTAATACAAATAGTATTGAAATTAAACACAATAAAAATTAGGAGGGGTTGGAGCCTTAGTACAGCAGATTGGGTGATTGACTTGCACACAGGCGAATCAGGTTTGATCTGTGGTATCCCATATGGTTCCCTGAGCAGTAATTCCTAAGTTGAGAGCCAGGAGGAACCCCTGCCTGAGCATCGCTGAGTGTGACCCAAAAAGAAAAAAAGATTAGGAGTAGAAGAATGAAGATGTAACTCGGTGATAGAATGCATGCCTAATCTATATGAGGATCTAGGATAAAACCATCACACATCCAAAGTTTAAATTAAGGATTAATTAACTCATAAGCCTTTATGTGGAGACAAGTTTAAATGGTAACAATAATTAATTCTAAAAATCCAATGAATAACATTAGATATAAATCCAGTTTTATATTTTTCTCTTAATTGGCCACTGAAACTCATACTGCTTCTGTATGAATTGATATTTTATACATAATATTTTACAATGTTTAATTTATTATTTAATTTTATTTTTCATAATTTGCCATGCAAGCTATCTGTGACGTATTCAATATGCCAAATACAGTAACAAGTCTCAAAATAGAGATGTTACTGGGTCTGCTTGAGCAAAAAAATCTATGAATAATGGGAGGACAGACATCCTTTCATAACTTAGGACCGGAGTGATTGCACAGCATGTAAGGTGTTTACCTTGCACACAGCCAACCCGGGTTCAATATCTCCATTCCTCTCGGAGAGCCCAGCAAACTACCAAGAGTATCCCGTCTACACAGCAGAGCCTGGCAAGCTCCCTGTGGCTTATTCGATATGCCAAAAACAGTAACAACAAGTCTCACAATGGAGACATTGCTGGTGCCCACTCAAGCAAATAGATGAACAATGGGACAACAGTAGCACCGTAGCACTGTGTAGCACTGTGTTGTTCATTGATTTGCTTGAGCAGGCCCAGTAACGAGCAGGCCCAGTAATGAGAAGGCCCAGTAATATCTCCATTTTGAGACTTGTTGTTACTATGTTTGGCATATCGAATACGCCACGGGTGACTTGCCAGGCTTTGCTGTGCAGGCTAGATACTCTCGGTTGCTTGCCAGGCTCTCTGAGAGGGGCAAAGGAATCGAACCCAGCGCATGCAAGGCAAACACCCTACCACTGTGCTATCACTCCAGCCCGGGACAATAGTGCTATTCATAATTTACTTTTAAATACTATTAACAAGGTTTTCTCATATACATAATTCCAGCTTCAGGCCCATCACCAGTGTGCCTGTCTCCCTCCAACTCAGTTGTGGGGGACTACAGATCTAGAGAATAGAACATAATCCATGAAATCTATTGAAAACACCTTCTGCAGAACTCTCCAGAAAATTGAACACAGAGAAATTTTTAAGGAGATGACTACAGTGGCAAAGATAACAACAACAAAAATTAAACAAATTAACAAATGAGACTACACCAATTTAGAAAGCTTCTACACAACCGAAGAAACTCAAGCTCCAATAACAAACACTCCATTGAATGGGAGAAAATATCTGTGCACAATACTTATGAAAAAGGGGTTTTATCTAATTTCTATAAATCTCTCACTGAACTCACGGAAAAATTTTTCAGTGACCTTGTTCATAAACAGAACAAGGAAATGAAGAGAAACTGTCCCAAGGAAGGCTTATGAAAAGCCAACAGCCATATGAAAGTGCTCGTGGTCATTCATAATTTGATGAATGTAAACAAATACAAAAAGGAGATATCAACCTGTATCTATGAGAATGGTACATATAAAAAAATATGGAAATAGCCAGTGTTGACCCCATTGTGGTGAGAAAGGAACTCTCATACATTAATATAATATACGTCTAGTAGTGCTCATAAGAACATATGTTGTTCAAAATTGATTAAGGTAAAGGTAAAGGCAAAGGCCCTCCCGTTGATCGTCGATTTGCTCGAGCGGGCCCAGTAACGTCTCCATTGGAGACTTTGTTGTTACTGTGTCTGGCATATCGAATACTCTCGGTAGCTTGCCGGGCTCTCCGAGAGGGGCGGAGGAATCGAACTCAGGTCGGCCATGTTGGCTGCTTGTAAGGCGAACGCCCTACCGCTGTGCTATCGCTATTTTTCTTTTTACAAAAGATACTTACAAAATTCAGATTTGATTTTGAAATTCACTCATTTGGCCTTGAGCAAATCAGTATACCTCTCTGAATCTGGCTTGTTTAATCAGTAAAGATAATGCTAATAATACTTTAGAATTGCTGTAAAACATGAAATGCTAAGTGAATAAATATACAAGGTAAAAAGTGTCTGGTACATACTTAAAAACTGCTCATTAGCTGTTTGCTGAATCTGATTCTGTTGCTGAAAAAGGTGTAGTCAGTGGCTCTGTTTGGCTTTTATTTCATCTAATTAAGCAGTACTTTAAGGGCCTGGGATAACTCTAATGTTAGAACACCACAAAAAAAGCCAATTAAAGTGGAACAATAAATGCTATTTACTGAATTATGTATGTGGATTTATTGTGAATTTGATTATTTTCTTTTGTGCAGAGGGTATGAGGAGGCAAATATCCAGGAGTATGACTGGACATTGACTCTCTTAAGAAGCTCTAATAAACATTTTAAATATCAATAAAAATGTATTAGAGAAGAAATAAACCATATGATTTATTTTTTTCTCTCAAGAATGGGAAATTATGATATGCCATATGCAATGTGCTCAAAAATTTAAGGAATTCATAATAATGTTGTGTGATACAAATCTGATTGTTTGATAAACAATTTTTAAGTATGTACCAGACAGTTTGATAAAACTACTTTAAGTGGAAGAAATTATTTTGAGAATATAAAGCAATTATTATTTGTTACCTAATGACCCAGTGAGGGAGTGTGTAATGAAATATATTGGAAAACATTGGGAGTATCAAGTATAAAGCTAGACCAATATTATTCCACAGCAAATATTACTCTAGAACAAAAATCTGATAGCTAATATTATTCTTAATGTTGACAAAATAATAGAATTTCTGTTAGGATCAGGTACAATACAAGGATGCCAACTGTCCCCATTCTTATTTAATATTGTATTGGAAGTGTTGGCAACAATAATCAGGTAAGAAAAGGAAATTAAGAAATACAAATTGGAAAGATGAAGTAAACCTATTTGCAGATGGCATGTTGATATACATTGAAGACCTTAATGATTCCATTCAAAATCACCTAGAAACAAAAAAACCAATACAGACTGACCACGGGGCAGTTGGGGAGCATGTCGACCCCGGCCCGGAGGAGGCTCATGCGGGATTTCAAGCGATTGCAAGAGGACCCACCTGTGGGTGTTAGTGGCGTGCCATCTGAAAACAACATCATGCAGTGGAATGCAGTTATATTTGGACGAGAAGGAACACCCTTTGAAGATGGTACTTTTAAACTAGTAATAGAATTTTCTGAAGAATATCCAAATAAACCACCAGCTGTTAGGTTTTTATCCAAAATGTTTCATCCAAACGTGTATGCTGATGGTAGCATATGTTTAGATATACTTCAGAATCGATGGAGTCCGACATATGATGTATATTCTATCCTAACATCAATTCAGTCTCTGCTGGATGAACTGAATCCAAACAGTCCAGCCAATAGCCAGGCAGCAAAGCTTTATCAGGAAAACAAACGAGAATATGAGAAAAGAGTTTCGGCCATTGTTGAACAAAGCTGGACTGATTCATAATAGACAACTAGACAACTGGTCTGTTAATCTTTTTCATCATTGTTGTGTATAATTTACCTCTCAGTAGAAATGCTAACAAATTTTAAGTGCCACAGGTTTTAAGGATTCTACAGAAAAGGAAAAGAAAAAGTCCTTCAGTTTAGAACCTACAAAAGCACAAGCTTTTTGTATCTTGATTAATGTACTTTTTATTGCATGGTACTTTTTATGTACTTTTTATTACATGGTGTGAACTAAGTTATTGCTTACATAAATTTGTAATATATCCTGAAAAAAGCCAATACAGCAATGATTCTGGATAAAGTTAGTACACAAAAATAGGTTGCATTCCTATATACAAGCAAAGAATCAGAGAATAAAGAAATCGCAGAGTCTATCCCATTTAAAACAGTATCCAAAACCATCAAATACCTAGGAATCAACGTAACATGAGAGGTAAGAGACCTAAGTTGTAATAGAAATGTCAAAACATTCAAGGAAGAAACTGAAGATCTTAGAAAGTGGAACAACAATCCAAGCTCATGGTTTTGAAGAATCAACAATGATAAAATAACCATGACACCTAAACTACTACATTAATGCAATGCAATCCCTATGCGAATTCATAAAACATTCTTCAAGGACTTAGAACAGTCAATCAATAAGTTTGTGTGGTACCATAACATAAATGACCCCTCATAGCAACAGCCATACTGAAAATCAAGAAAGTGGGAGGCATCTCACTACCTAGTTTGAACCTTTATTTTAAAGCCTATCAATAGCATGATACTGAAATAAAGAAATACTCTCTGACCAATGAGCCAGAATAGAGTATTCAAGGAAAAACCCTCATATAAATGTTCAGGCTAATGTTTGGTGTTATTAGAACAATGTCATCAGCGAAGTGGTGGTGGTGTAGTTGCTGACCATCTATCTCCACACCCATTCCTTCCTATTCCAGTCGTCGCATGACGTTCTCGAGGGTAGCAATGATGAGTTTCAGTGAAATGGTATCACCTTGCTGAACGCCTCTCTTTACCTCGATGATCACTTCCTTGTAGAATGGTAAGATACTGGTAGTGAATCCGTAATACAGCTCATGAAGGATCCTGATGTATTGAGTTTGAACGCCCTGTAGGATAGGGCTTCTATGACTGCTTCAGTCTCAACAGAATCAAAGGCCTCCTTATTTTTTCTAATATTCTTTCATTTTATTTTTTTATTAGTGAAACACCATAATTTACAGTTATAGACTTACAAATTTTTGTGCTTGGGTTTCAGTTATTCAATGATCAAATACCCATCCCTCCACCAGCGCCCATTCTCCACCACCACGGGTCCCAACATCCCTCCCACACGTCACCCACCCCCAATCCCACCCTGCCTCTGTGGCAAGGCATTCTCCCTTGTTCTCTTTCTCTTCTTTTGGGTCCTGTGTTTTGCAAGAGAGGCATTGAGTAGCAGTCATGCTTAGTCTATAGTTTACTTTCAGCGTGCTTCTCCTACCCTGGGAGGATCCTCACAACACCCTTTATTTGGTGCTCTCTTCTCTATCTGAGCTTCCTTTTCCCTTAGCACGTGTGGCTGGCCTCCAAGTTATGGAGCAAGATTCCTGGTACTAATCTCAGCCACTCCTGGGTGTTAGTCTCCCATTTTGTTGCTTTATGTTCCCCAGATGAATGCAATCTTTCTGTGTCTATTCTGCTCTTTCTGACTCATTTCACTTAACATGATACCATGTAGTACCACTTGTATGTAAATTTAATGACTTCATCTTTTCTAACAGCTACATAACACTCCATTGTGTAAAGGCCTCTTTAAACAATGAACATTAGATAGAGCGGCATCTTAAACTCCCAAGAAACCTCAATAAGCTTGGTTACCATGTGGATATGGTTTATTGTGCTGAATCCTTTTCAGAATCCGGCTTGCTCTCATGGTTGTCCTTTATCTAGTGTTCTGCCAATCCTATTCAGGATGACTGAGTGAACAGCTTGTAGACAAGGAAAAACAGGCAAATTGGGCAATAGTTGCCAATGCCATGGATGTCTCCCTAAGACTTGTAAGTACTACAGTCCTGTTGGTTTTCCATTGGGATAAAATCTTGCATTCAGACAGGTATTGTGGAAGAGCCAAGCCAGTGTATTGATGAGTACTGACCACAGGTTCTTCAGGTGTTTGGGTCTGACCTTGTCTGGGCCAGGTGCTGTTCGCTTCTTTACCAATGAAATGGCGTATCAGATTTCAGAAGGGAGAACCTTGGGAATGGCATATCCATCCTGCGGAGTTTGGGATGTGGCAGGTGGACATGGCTATCGAAGAGATCCGAGTAGAAGTCACGGAGAATCTTCTCCATTGCCCTTCTGGAAGATGTGATAGATCCATCAGGACATCGAAGGGCAGTCATCTTGGTTTTGTTGTTGGCTAAGGACAGCTAGGCATTGTGAATGCTTTTCTTGGCTTCTGCTGCATGAGCCAGCACTGTTGTTCTTCTCTCTTTAAGGTCTTACTTTATTACTTCTCTGCACTGCTTTGCAAGCTCAGACTTTGCTTGCTGAGGCTCGGGCCAAATAACATTGGCTTGAGAGTTTTCGAAGACAGGCATCTTTTTGTGGTTGTCTCTCTCAGTGTTCATTGCACAATCATGGAAGTGCTGAACCAGTCGATCGTATTCTTCATCAATGTTGTCAATGATGGCATCTTCCCATGTTGTTGCAATAGTGCCAAAGAGCTCCCAGTTGGTGGTCATTCTGGGAGTTCTCTTCTTAAACTTTGCAGCCCTTTCTCCCTATAATGTGAAGTAGAATTTTGCAAGAAGGAGACGGTGGTCCGATCCCATTGGGAATTTTGGTACAGCAGCGACATTGGTCAGCAAAACCATCAACTGAATATGATATGGTCAATTTCGTTGTGGAACTGTCCACCGGGAGACTCCCATGTCCAATGTTTAGATTCGGCCTTCTTGATCTGTGCGTTACCATGGATGGTCTTGGTCGACATGATAAATTCAGACAGTCTCTCACCCTGTTCATTCCATTCTAGGCCATGGATCCCAATGTGGAGTTCTTTGGCTGAACTTCTCAGTCCTATCTTGGCATTAAAGTCACCGACAATGGTCTTGTAGAAGTTGTGGTCTTTATAGAATTTCTCCAGGTCCATGTAGAACTTAGCAATTTCTCTTCATCGTAATTGGGTGTTGGTTTGTAGATAACACAGATAGAAAGTGCCGGCAGTGAGCCACATCTATTCAAGTGCAATGGTTATTTTCAGGTTGTTAGGCATTTGAATGAATCAATGCTCATGGCCAAGTTCTTGTTGACAAGGACACCAACACTACCAATGCTTCTTTTGTCGCATGTTCCGAGTAACAGTCCTAATGTTGCCGACTTCGACCATGAGTGTTGAAAGTCAGATAGCAGCTGAATCTCATGAAGACAATGTTCATGAGAAACAGACATGTTCTTGACGTTCCATTAGCTCTGAACAGAATGAACATCTCCAAATGCAGCAGTTATGTGTACCTAGGTTGAGAACTCAACATGAAGAACTACCTGGCACCTGAGTTGTGCAGGAGGAAGAGAGTGACATGGAACACCTTCAAGAGCATTGAAGAAATAGCTAAAAGGATGAAGAACCTCGGTTCCAGGCACATCTCTTCAATTCCACTGTTCTTCCTGCATTAACATACGCCTCAGAGATCTGGGTCCTATGAAAACAGGATAAGAACACTATTTGGGTTTCCCAAAGAGGAATCAAAAGAGCTATGCTTGGAGTATCACGCTTCACTCAAGTGAGAGAAGTAATCTGGAGTTCCAACCTCCTTGGATGATCGAAATTCAGGAATGCTGTCTTGTTTGCCAAGATGTCAAAAACCAGATGGGCTGGACACATAATGTGATTTGGAGATGACTGCTGAACTAGAGCCATTGCCAACTGGATTCCACGGGACATCAAAAGATCTCGTGGCCATCCACCTACGAGATTGTCAGACATCTTCGTCAAGACCCTGAACAAATGGGTTGAGGCTCTTCATGCTCCTGCAGCGAGCAGACATCATTGGGCTACTCTAGCACGTGGCAGGGACGAATGGAGATGTTACTGCCACCAGCTTGAGCAAATCGATGAGTAACGGGATGTCAAGTGATCAAGTGATACATGTCCAGATAATTTTTGAAAAAGGAACTGAGAACATGAAATTGAACAAAGGCCACCTTTTTAAACAGATAGTATTGGGAGAATTGAATAATCATGTGCAGGAAATTAAAGCTGGACCCATATCTCACACCTTACCAAAAGTCAACTGAATTAAGAACAAAGACCTTGATATAAGATTTGAATCTATAAAGTACACTGAAGTAAATAAATATAGGCATAACACTCCAAGATCTAGAACTCAAAAGATTCTTTAACGATATGGTGTCATTGACAAAGTCTACTGAATCAAAACTAAACAAATGAGACTATGTTAAAGTTCATCATTTGTGTACGGCAAAAGAAACATGAGCCAAAACTAAAAGATAACACACTGAGTGTAAGGAAGTATTTGTACCCAACACATCAGATAAAATGTTGATATCCAGGATATGGGCTGGAGCAATAGCACAGCGGGTAAGGTGTTTGTTTGCTTTGCATGCGGCCAACATGGCCAACCCGGGTTTGATTCCTCCACTCCTCTCGGAAAGCCTGGCAAGCTACTGAGAGTATATCGCCCACAGATGTTACTGGTGTCCACTTTAGCAAATCGATGAACAAAGGGAGGACAGTGCCCCTACAGGCTATATCCAGGATATATAAAGTACTTCAGGAGATAAACCAAAAAAAAAAAAAAGAGCAAAAAAAAATACAACAACAAAAACGACCTTAAAGCCCTATCATGGGGAGAAGAAATATACAGAAATCTCTGTGAGGAAGTCAAAGAGATGGATAACAGGCACATGAAAAACTCTCATGATCACTTATTATTAGGGAAATACAAATCAAGAGAAAAATGAACTATCTTGGAGGCGTCCCCTGGACGCCGGGAGACAAAGCAGATCTGAGCCTCTCTGCCTCTCCCTTTCCGCCGCCCAAGCCGAGCTGGTCTCTTCTCCCCAACAGCCAGGTCAGTTTTCGTGCAGTTTCTCGAACCCGGGTCTTGGATCTCACCGTGCAAGCCCCGAGGTGTGCCCGGGACGCCGGGAGACAA